CTAAACCTTTTTTGCTCATATAGTGCTTGCAGATTTTTCTGCAGTGAAGGAGTGGAGGGCCTTCAGTTTGTGATTTCTACCTTGCAAAACTAGCAATACAGAAGATATTCAAGTTTATCAGGTACAAAGAAACTTAATGATTTTTTATTGCATCATTTGCCTTTACAGACCCTTTGAAAGAAAATCAAAGGAGAATGAGGTGCTATTAAAACACTTGCAGTACTTTCCAGAAATAGCTGAGCAGGTCTCAAGACATGTGCTTAAGGAACTATGTTCAGTGGCACAGCTTGACAAATGTCCTGAGGAAGATTACACAGGTTAGGAACACATCCCTGTTGATGCAAAGACTTTGGATGTTTAGGATTATTGACTTTAATGATATTCCCACCCTTGCTGCATTTTGAAAGTGCATTCATTTTTTGACTTGACAATATTGTTGTTCATATGAGGTGGAATTTTTTGTTGAGACTTCTATTAAAGCACTTAGTCTATCACAGGTTACTCACATTTCACAACATGTAAATTTTTTCTCACAGTATTTGGGAACACAGGACTGCATCTCATCTTGCGTGGCAGTGTTATGGTGCAGTCATCACAAGCATTCTCACCTGAACTTTCAAGAGAAGCAACTGAGGTCTCCTCTCCATCACCCTCCTGTATCCTTGAAGAAGATGAGCTACAGATTTCAGAAAAGGTAGAAAAACATTGACGACAGTAAACTGAAAGAGACTTCCATTCATTTAAAAAGCACTTTGAATTAAAACAAATTATCTCACAATTCTATGAAATTTAATCCCCAAAAAAAATTCAATCAAATTTTCCAGGTTCATCATTTGCAGTCCATTTAAATATCCAAGAATGACTGTCGTCCAATTTCCCCTAACAGTATCAGCCTTGAATCAAATGTGAAGGTTATGATAACAAATCCCCTGATTATCAAACAAATTCTCCTCATCAGTACTATAGCAAATATAAAGAGACAAGTGTGGAGATAATATGAAAGCCAATGTTAAGGTGTAAAGGATTACTCTTCTCTATCTTTAGCTTGCCTCTTGCCCTTCAAAATTTACTTGGAAGTCATGAGACAGTGTGGCTTTTTTGAAGAACTAGTGTCTAGAAATTATCTTCAATTTGAATACTTGTGTGAATCTTAAAGAAATTATTCAACTCTCTCAACTTGTTGACTGAAGTGTTTTCATGAAGATGTTTTGGTTAAATTACAGCTCACTGTGGGCCAGTGTTTTGGAGTCCTAAGCAAAGTTGAAGAAAAGGAGGCAAACTCAAAGTAAGTTTGTTGATTTTCCTCATAGCTTCTTAGATTTCTTTTCTTAGCTTCAAGAAATGAAATTAGTTTTCAGGAAAATGTTCCAGTGATAAAAGTGTTTCCTACATGGGACAGAAGGAAATGATAGTCAAATCAATTTTTTTGATCAATCAACTGACATACTTTTCCTACTCTCATTGGTCATTGTAAGGTTGAATTACTATGTGGGTAAGATTTTGGGAACAAGGTTTTAAAGTTTTAGATCCCATTCCCCTTCATGTTTAGATTTAGGTACTGGTATGTTAACATGACAAAAGTTTGACTTTTCTCTAGTCATCTCTTTTAAATATCAACAAAGGAAGCATGCAAAAGTTATGTGCACCAGGGGTGCACATGTTGGAAGGTGGGAAGGTAGACAAAGTAAGACTATGTCTATTCTTCCTTCCCATCATCCCTCTGGGGTAGTAGTGCAAGTCTCTTAAGACCCACAGCTGCATCTTAAAAGTAACTGAAAATTGAGACAAGTTTGGGAAAAAGACCCCTTTTTCTTAAAAAGGAAATTAATTGCTATTTCCAAAGTGAATTTTCATAATCTGATTTAAAGCATGTTTCTTTTAGACTTCTCTCTGTTGTCTCCTTGGAGCCATGTGAGTTCTTGAAGATTTCAACCAGTGACTATGCTAGAGTTATACAGGTCAGTGCTGACACTAAGGCATTCAATTAGATCAATAATTTTAAATGAAATTGAAGTTTTAATTTGTTCCCTTTTTTTCCCCTTCAGATAATTCAAGCCCGAGAGGAAGAGCAGAAGTTGTCTCTAGCAAAGGTGTGTAAGCTGTTCAATAGCTGGCCTCTGTTGTCACTCAAAAAAATCGCTGGGCTCATCAAGTGGAGAAAGTTCCCACCAGGTCAAGGTAATATTTGCTATCAAGAGAATAGTCTTGGAAAAGCATGTTTTGTAGCAAAATTTTGTATGATTTTTCACTAGTTCACAGAGCAGAATGCGTATGCTCCATTGAGGTACTTGTAATGCTGTCTAAAATAAAGTCATTACTTACAAATACTACCTCTCAAGCCACACCCATCTCACACGAAGTGAGCTTTGAAATGTAAACTCCAGAATTCAATTGTTCATGTAGCCTGCGAGTAGACTCTGATTACCGGTAGCGCTGCTTCACGAGAATCTTGCGGTCCTCGGGATTTGAGCCTGGGAGCTGATTGTGCAGCGATGCCAATGAGAGCTTGCACGAAGGAAGCGTGAAGGCTACTGTCCGTGGGAAGATTGATACCCATCTCAACTCATAGCGCTTCCCTCATTAAGAAACACACTGGTACCTTCAAGTAAACCAGAGCAGAATTTATTGCGTATAAACTAACCGAAGTCTTACTTAGTATCATACGTGGAATGTCACATGTCGTAATCACTGGGCTATTGTTAGATTTCCCAGTTTGACATGTAAGATCAATTACTGACACTTCTCTATAATGTTTCACAGTTCTGGTGAGCGAAGGTGAAAGATGTGAAGTGATAGGGTTCATCAAGAGTGGGGAGTGCCTTCTGAGACGTTACATCAATGTAGCACATACATTTCCAAACGGTAGAAAGGTTAGTGCTTGTCTCTTTATAAACTTTGAATTGAACCCAGAAAGTCACAGAAAACTCTTCAATTACTCCTTACGCTTTATTCAGGAAGTGGTTGATGTCCTAACAATTCCAACCTGATAACTGGTAGTACAGAGTTCTTCTTCTAAAATGAGAAAAGCGCAGTGACGCTGGAGCATCTTACGTTTCATTTACCTGGAAATAGTTTGCAAGTAGCTTCATATTGTATTAGTACCTTTATGAGAATAAGTAGACACCTCCACAGAGAAGACTTCAAAAACTCTTTTTCCTGTCTGTCGAACATAAGCTTTTGGCGACAAAAGATTGGGACGAGACAAAACCATGATACCGGGTGTGTCGTCAAACGTCATCATGTGTTTGCTTTTGCTCCCCACTCGTTAGACTGTTTTCTAATAAGGGATCCAGGCATGAAGTAAATTGTTGTTAGGGATTGGAGAGGGATCTTGTGGGTAAAAGTGACCCTTTAAAGACTTGACATGCCCCAAATATCAGTAAGATGATCCCACGCAATGCTCCGCCCTTGCTTCCATTGAATTTTCCTTCTAAGTGGTGCTTTGAGGCCTCCAGAAGTTGCTGTTGCTGACTGTTTCTACGTGGGATAATTTTTTTAAAAAACTATGTCTCTGTTGTATCTTGATCAGGAGCAGCGTGTCAAGTCCGTAATGATTGGCAGACTGTCTCCTGGAGACTCGTTTGGTGAGATAACAGTCCTGAAGGGCTTGCCAATGCCATGTTCAGTCATCACAGACACTCATGTACAAATAGGCACCATATCTACACTCGATGTCCATGGTAGGTATTTTGACACCTCATCTCCCCCTTCCCAACCCTCACCCGATCAACTTTCTCCCCTCCCTTCCTCCCTGCCCCTAATTCGACGGCTGAGTTTAAGATTTACAGTCTTTCTTGATCTTTTCCACACACGACGCTTTTGACACTGCTGATTTTGGCACTGTGCAGGATGCGTGTCACCTTTGAACCGAGTACTAGCCTGGTTCACCATAGAGTCTCTTTGGCTCTGTAGTACAGTATCTGTGCGTGAAATTCGAAGATCTGGAGCTCAATTCCTTGTGGGATACTCAGACCTGTTTTCTTTTTTTGTCCCACGCCTGTTACAGTCGAATTACATCTTCCCTCATTCGAAGACTGAGCTCAAAATTTACGATCTTTCTTATTCTATTTACAAATTGAATAATTTTTAATACCAACCACTACTGAATCGCTTTTTTTTAGACTTGGATGAGGTCACAAGGTCTCTTCTCTCGCAGTCCTATTCAGTGATGGATGCCAATTTAACAGAGGTAGCGTACACTTCAATGAGATACGTTTTGTTGATGGATTCTGTGTGCTTCTAACGACAACTTGTATTTATGTAAATTAATGACTCAACATAAATGAATCATTACATTTCAGGACGAGATACAAAAAGAGTATATCGAACAGGAGAAAGATAAGGAATGGGTCAGGTTTAAGGTGGGTAGAATTGTTTCGAATTAGTTTAGTACCTCTTTAGCGCTTATTGTGAAATTATATTATTCTTCTTGTTCGTCTTTTTTTATGAACTGTCACACGTATTCCTCTTGATCTCATCTGCGCAGCCACAATCCACGTTTCTGTTTCTAATACGCTGCAGCCAAAAACGATTTTTGTTGACATCTGATTGTTCCTTGACTAAAGTGAATAGAAAATGGTTGAAAAGGAGTTTGCGGCAAGGCATTGGTAAGTTGCGCTTACGACCGTGCACATATTGTCGTCATCGGCTTGCGTCTTGTTATCAAAGCAAAATCGCTGTTGGAAATTGCAGTCAAATGCAGTTCACATTTTTGCATTTAATTTAACCAAAATATCCAGGGTTGCAGCCTAGTAAAAAAGACTCCGGCATGGAACAGTATACTTTGCAAGAACGCAGGCTTTATACATATTGCAAGGCCGGCTAGCTCATCTTGGCTCCTGAGATTGTCTCTGAAGTTGTTTTGCATGTTTGTTTTTCTTTGCCTTCCCAAGAGTGAATATTTTTTGGAAAGGAATGAAAATTTGACAGTCTCTTTTGTCTGTGTGTTTGCAGAACAAAGTCGTCGGCAATGTGTTACACCACAGAGGCATTCTTCCTGGTTACAGCAAGTGGAGCAGAAATCCGTCACTTTTGGAGGTGTCAGAGAAATGAACCAAATTAGCGATCACGTGTCCGATTGACTTCACTGCCTTAGTTCTCTTTAAGCATCAGAACGAGGACGTCATTTTCAGACGGAAGGTCACGCGGAGTAGTCTGGGCGAGACCTTACACCGGCTTTCGGTATTTGGATTCCCCCTTCTCGAGTGG